TAAACGCGATCCACCTGGAGCAGGAACTGGCAAGCCACTCCAGTATCTTTGCCAAGAAAATTCCATGGACAGAAACAGAAGGCTAAAGGACACTTAGGAGACCTCATTGGTTCAATACAGTAATAGCACATGCTGGAACCGAACCAATACAAAGCGATCCTAACGGCATTCCCTAGTTATGCTGGCCACATGACAATGGAAACTGTCTTCGGACAAGCACTGGCTCTAAGGCTTGAAAACAGGAGTCGGACACGACTGGACTGAAAATGTCAAGGGGAACCTTTACCTTTACCTTACCTGCACCCAAAAAGAAGCAGCTCCTGACAGGGGCCTAGGAAGGTGTTGGTAGGCATTGATTACAGGTGGGCTGGTTTGCAATAACATATATGTCATGTGGTCACCAGGAAGAGAAGCAAACCAGCCTCTTCTCCATTTGGATCAAACCACAGGACAGATGCCTTTCTGATCACAAAGAACCAAAAGCCAGAATTCTATTGCTAATTGGTTCCTTTAAGGATACAAACAAACAAACAAAGAGTGCTGGAGTGAGTGCAATAGCATACTTCCTGTTACTTAATGAATTCACACTTATATCCCTCCTTGTGCACCAGCTGACATAATGGACATATAGAAAGGGATATAATCAGAAACCTGTTAACCAGCAATAATTCACTGCTGTAATTTATGCTGTTGCATTTATTCTGGCATAAGTAAACCATAGGAATCTGGCCCTTAGCTTTTCCAAAGATCTCTGTGGTAGAGAAGAAAATGGTTAGAGGTGACATCGATAACAGTGAAAAGCAGACAGCTTAAAAACTGACTGGTTTTCTTTGGCATAAAGCTTTGTAAAAGTTGTGCCACTTGTTGAAATGGATCCAGACAGCTGCATGCATTTTTGGGTTGTCCTTAAGAGCAGGTCTATGGGAACTCTCATGGAGAGTACCTACATTTCAAAATTTACCACTGCTGTACATCAGTGGACTCAATGAGTTTACACCACTGGTGCAGAATGTATTACCCTGATCAGCACTGGACCCTGATACAGAATCTTTCCTGCACTTTGTGGGATATATAAATGGAGACATCCAGACCCAGGCACCACTCAACTCTGATCAGAATATTGGATTTTTTAAAAAATAATAATAATTGGGGCATATGGCTAGGTGTGCTACATGCTGACTGTAAGCCTTCCATTAAAGCTTAAACGGTTCACCAGGAAAACATTATTGGAAGTTTTGAGGGTACGTGCAGTCTTGTATATGTAGAAAGAAAGCCTGTGGATAAAATAAATAGTAGAGTACAGAAAGAAAAATGCTGATGAGGTATCTACTTCTTTTACCAGTTCTCTGCCTTGGTTTTTCCACATGTCCTCCAAATCTGATTGCACCATTTAACCATTTAAGCCCTTGAAGTAAATGGGAAAGTTACTTAAAAATAAATAGCTGTGGTTATAGTTCCAAGACTCAAAACATAGTTCCATTAAAGTTACATTTTTTCAAAAGCAGCTCATTACTTTCCCCATTTTTCAAAAGTAACTAAAACCTCACCATTTAGTTACTTTAAAAAGACATCTGAATGCTACAAATTGGTGACCTGTAGCACAAAACACTACACTCACAACAGAACATGACATAGCACAAGTCAGTAACTATGTGGTTTTCTTCCTTTTAGTAAAGGCTCATCTGAAAAATTAAGCATAACTAAATGTCACAGCTATTACAGACAGTTATATCACCCCCATTAAGTTATAATCATAATTAGAGATTGGCACAAACTGCTGTTACAGCATTTTGTCCTGGTTCATTTACAGCCGTAACAGGTATTCGGCAGTTTGGTGCCCCACCTTCTCCAGTGGGCACTCATTCAGAAGCAGTGTCCAGAGGAGGGGGCAGGCACTGAACACCTCTTGTAAATTAACTGGGCCTTACCGTCAAAGTGGCAATTCGTGCCTATCTCTAATCACCACATAATATGTATGTACTTAGAACTGGTAAATGGAATTAATTACAAGTAACTATTCATTTGTTACTAGATATTTACAACTACTTATAAGCTAAAATTAGTTATTTGTAATTATTTACATCTAAGCTTAGTATGAAGCACAGATATCATGCAGCTATTTGACTTCCTTTCCTGAGTATTTAGTCGTCATGGTGAGGATCAAACCATAGCAAGTTGTTAAAGAGTAACCAATAAGGAGCACTAGTCAATGTTTGTACCCAAAGTAAAACATCAAAGATTTGCAGGTGTGTGTAATTGGATCGTCTCCTTTGTCTTCTATATATGTATCTATATATGTCACCAGCCACCTCTGACATGAATGAGCGTAACACAGTTTTGTCCCACCCTTCTAGAGCTAGTCTTCAAGGTGATAGTCATTAGCAGAAGACTCGTTCTCAATCTGTCTTTCGGCATTAACTGGATGAAATGTGCTTGAAGAATGATAGAGGAATACAATCTATTGCTTTCTGCCAATAGAGCTGATCATCCCAGGAATTAGTTGCTATGTCAGGGACGGTCAGCGGTTCCATATCAGACTCCCTGTATTATCAGTAATTGTGAGCCTATGCAATAGCTGTGTTGTTGTTGTTAATTGGCAACAGCAGCAGTTCACACAAGAGTCTTTCTTGCCCCAGCCTAGAGATGCCAAACGTTGAACATGGGCCATCTACTGTGTGTACAGACATTGCTGTCGCATGTTCGTACACCAGCAGGGAGCTCCAGCGAAGCTCTTAAAACAGCAGTCCTGAAGAGGAGGGAGCAGTGAGTGAGTGTGCCATGCTGCAGTCAGTGTTCAAAGTCCTGTTAGCCATTTCTCTAGAAGACTGGAAGTGTCCCTGGGACCAGTTATCAGCTCCTTTCTCTCTCCCTGGGATTTGTGCCCTGCCTTTTGAGGGAAAACCCTCCCATGCTCTGAAGCACATCTTGACTTATCTTTGTGAGAGATCAGTTCTGCCTCCGGCCAGAAATGGAGGTTAGCCATGACCTTTAAATGCTAAGATTGTTAATAAGGCAGGGAGGTGATTGGAACTTGCTTTCCACAGTTTGTGAAATCAGACCTCAAAGGAATCTCTTACTTAAGTTCTGAAGACCAATCACCAAACAAAGCAAACTAATCTTCATAATGGGGTGAGTGAGGTGGGGGTGGGGAAAGCTTCTGCTGTGACATTCAGACACACGCATTAATTAAGAATTTTCTTCTTCCAGTCATGGACTATCTCTGAATCTGTTTATTGTAACTGTGTCCAAGAAAACTGAATTCAGCAGATGCTGGTTATCTTATTTCTCCAACTCATATAGGAGGCTCTGGTTTTCTCCCTTCAGGGTTAGAACTCTGACCTTGGAAGAGAGATGATCATGGATATCTCTGTTGTGGCTTGGAGGGGCATAAAAGACATCTGGCAATGAAGTGTCTCACTGTCCAGAGTTGGTGTTAAGGAGCCTCATAGCTCAGCAGTTAAACTGCAGTATTGCAATCAAAACTCTGCTCATGACCTGGGTCCAACCCCAGGTAGCTGGCTTGAAGTTTACTTAGCCTTCCATCCTTTTGAGATAGGTAAATGGAGTACCCATCTTGCTGGGGTGGGGCAGGAACGTGTAGCCTGCATACATAAATTGTAAACCGGCCAGGCAATGCTTTAAGTTGTATGGGGCAATATATAAGCACCACACTGCTCTTTTGCTTTTTGATGGGCATTTTTGAACACTGCAGAAGGGAAAACCTGTTCCTTGTTCTGGCCCTCAAGTGTATTCTCGAAGCGAAGCCATAGAACTGCAACCTAAAATGACATTTTCAATGACTGATAAAAGAAGGCATTTAATCTGGAACACATCACTTATTAATGTTGTTCAAGTGGGAACTAGAGATGGGGGTATTCGTATACAAAAATGAATATCCCAAATATCCCTGCACAGGTGGCGTTAACAAGGGTCCAGCCCCATGGAGCCGGAAAGTCCACTCACCGATCTGCCGTGGACGCAGATGGCGCAATTCCACGAATGGCTCTGCAGCACGCAATCGGATTGCCACTCTCCGACCTTGCACTGAGGCTTGTCCTCCTGCCAGGAGTGGTGAGCAGATCGCGCGCTGCACAGCCATTCGTAGAATTGCGTCATCCACTTCTGCAGCGGATCGGTGAGTGGACCGTATACTAATACCCCCATCTCTAGTGGAAACCAATTCAGGACACAGCCAATTTTAAACTAATGTAAATCTACCCAACATGGTTAAGAGGTATAAAATGCACCCCCCCAAAAAAACCCACAAAACCCTAAAACATATAAAACACTCAAAGCCTTCCCCCACAACAATAAGCCATTGATTTAATCTGGGAAACAGCTCAATAACCTGAATGTTGTGAAGAGGGCAACATTCTTAAAGATGTGATTAATCTGTGCCTTTATTAGTCACAATTAAAGTGTTAATAGCATGATGCATCTTTCTTGGCAAAAGTCACTTTATAACGTCAGCTAACAGCAGAATATGAATATGTGAGCCTTGGGACCTGCAAATGCTGGCTCTGTGACCATGTTGTGAACTTACTTTAAACAATTTAGCTATAAAGCTTCATGGGGAAAAAAATCTCAGAAGTGGGGAGGGTGGGTTGGCTGGGTAGAAGAGGAATTCATTAATCCAAAATATTTTGGCTGACTTCCATTCAGGACACTGCATTTATTCTTTTGAAATCTTTAGTATTTACAAGCTGGACTGACAAAATAATCACAAACAATGAATTATTGTGGTTAGGATGGGGGGAAAACTGTCCAGCAACAACACATACACAGAGTTCCTGCTCCCTAAGAATGTTGTTTCTTTCCACAACTGGGATTTGCTGGAGAAAGCAAAGCTGATCAGAAGAGTTTTCAAAGATCATAGTATTTCCTTTTATTCTCTTTCTTAACACAAACAAGAGAGTACTGATCCTCTCTCTATCTCTGTGTGTGAAGAGGTCGGGGTGGGTGCTCTCATTAAACGGAATCTTTCTCTTTGCTCTTGGCAACCACAGGGGTATTCTTGTGCTGTATGACAAGACAGCTCTCTGGTCAGTGCTATATTTATCTTGTAGCTGAACACGCATTTGCAGGAGGTTGTTCGGCAAGAGAAAGGCAACAAGCCAGAGCACAGTTCAAACCGAGGAAAGTTTGTTCAAGCATCCTCTGACAACACTGCCTTCAGCTGCAGAAAATGAATTCCCCCACGGCCTGGAAGAGTTAACCGCTGGGTTGGGAACAAAGAATTCTCTCCCTGACTTGTCCATAGCGCTCTGAAGGAGGAGGAAAGAGGTGATAAGATGGAGCTGAACAACAAGTTAATGGGTGCATCCGGAGGACATCCAAGGGGACAAGAAGAGGAGGAGGAGGAGGACGGTCGTCCCGGTGCAAGCGGGTGGGATGCTGGGGTCAGGAGTAACGACCTGGATTGTGTACAAATGTATCTCACCTGTTTACCGGAGAGATACATGAAGGCAAAGTTTACTCTGACAGCCTACTTCATGTGTTGGCTCATCTTGAAACTCTGCAAGGTAAGAGAGTGAACATAAAGTAGAGGAACGTGAACAATTAACTTCAAAAATGCTGATCCAGTAAAAAAAAAATCTTACTATGTCTGTATCAAGAAATGACAAATAAGGGGTGGATGGGGGGCACTGAAACTTTTAAAAGGTATTGAGAGTCTCGTATTCAAACAGACCAGGCTGAACAACTGAAAACCACTCAAGGAGCACTGCCTTCTTCAAATCTACCTCTCCTGGTGCTAATTAACAGCACCTCCTGTTACCCACTCCCCTGCCCAGTCTTTAATGAAGATTGATTCTGTACCAAAAGAATTAAAGAATCCAAGGGTAACAACATGTAACCTTGCTTTTGAGCCACCAGTGGGGGTGAGGGAGAACCAGGACTGTAAGAAAAATTGTTTCCTTGTCTTATCGAACATTATTCAGTGTGTTGCATCCCTCCACCGTTACCCTCTTTTACTGAAAAAGAGAGTAATGGTGGAGGGATGCAACACACTGAGACAAATACTCATTATTACAAGATTTCTGTTAAGCTGGAATTTGATGACATTTGCTTTAATTTTTCAAAACAACATGAACATTATTTTAAAAATGTGAATTCATAGGTGTTGCATAAATTCCTAAAAGTCTTTCCAACTAACTTCAAAACCTTCACAAGGAAAGAAGATAAAACAGGTGACAAGATGCTATTAAAGAAAAGTGCTCTAACATGCAGGCCTAAGCATAGTTTCCTAGGAGTAAATCTTATGAAACTCAATGGGTCTTACACCTGAGTAGTCTTGAGTAAGAGTGTCCTCTTAAGTGTTGTAAAAAGCATCTTCTAGAACTTTCTGGTATTTGTGCTTCACGTAAAGCATCAAAACACCGTTGTGAAATTTAATACACATTGAAATAGTAGTGTATAGAATTATGCAGCCATGAAGTATACTATACAGCTTTCCCTCTCTCAGTTATCTGTGAGGAAAGAATTGGACTCAGGAAAGGAAACAAACTACTGTATTTATGTTTCTGAATAGGAATTCAGTATATTGCATCATCCCTCAGATAGTGGATAACATTTCCAGATACTTTCAGCTTGAGAGGTACAAATGGTTTGAAACTTAAATTACAAGTGTCTGGAAGTTTGACCAACTATCAAGGGACAATTAAGCAACACCAACCTTTATGATTCATTTCTATTACAAATAATTGTTTGTCACATTAAAATATATATGAAACATGGTTATCCTTTGAATTAATATAAAATTGTAAATGTTATTTTGAGTCCCTACACTTCCAGGGAGTACTACATTTAAAAAATAGCCTCTCCATTCATAAATTTAAAATGGCTGTGTCTCCATGTTGCAAACCATCCATATTCATTGTAACATATTCAAAAACAACTTCTGTTAGGATCAAAGTGCATTTTTCTGAGGTAACCTCCCAGAGATAACTGAGTATGGGGGAGGGGGAAGGAGGGTGAGCAGCAACTGTCCTGGGAGGAGGAGGGATTCCCTCTATTTTCAGTCCATGAATGCTGAACCAGAAGAAATGCTGTTGTGATATGGACACACCTTTGTGCCACAGGTGCTGCAGAAAAATTGGCAGGGCCTCACTAACAGGTTGCATTGATAAGACAAGAGAATGTCTAGGGAGGGATGAGAAATACTATGCTACCATGTTGGCAAAAAGCAATTTAGTGCAGCATTTCTCAATGATACGAAGTAATTCCACTCTTTTCGAAAATACCAGATTCTCAGTGTCCCCTGTATATCACCACTGGTAAAAACCACAATATTACCATCTACCTCCTACATTCCATGTAAAGCACCTTCTCTGCCCAACACAGTTGGCCCTACTACCAGACACAGTCTCACCAGACATAGTGAGACAGCCACCGCAGGCAGCATATGTTGAGTACAATGAAACAGCAGCTAATTGCTCATTATTCAATTTGTTATTACAGTATTGCATTTTTACTGCTAAGGATGATTGACTGGCTTTGAGCGCTGCTTTTGCTCAAGCACACACACACACACACACACACACACACACACACAGAGAGAGAGAGAGAGAGAGAGAGAGAGAGAGAGAGAGAGAGAGAGATGGTGCCAGAGGTATGATATGAAGTGTGACAAGAGGAATGGGAAAAGGGATGTAGCAAAGGGATAACCATGTTAGCCTGTTGTTGCAAAACCAGGAAAGAATAAAGAATCCCATGACACCTTCTAGCCTAAATAGTTTGCTATTTTTATGGACACTTTGTTATTTTCCCACTGTAAGAGATAGTGACCTTTACAGAGAGATGGTGCCAGAGGTATGATATGAAGTGTGACAAGAGGAATGGGAAAAGGGATGTAGCAAAGGGATAACCATGTTAGCCTGTTGTTGCAAAACCAGGAAAGAATAAAGAATCCCATGACACCTTCTAGCCTAAATAGTTTGCTATTTTTATGGACACTTTGTTATTTTCCCACTGTAAGAGATAGTGACCTTTACCAGTTGCAAAACTGTTTGTACTCACTAATGTATCATTGATGTCCTGCATCCTCTTGGACAGGCACATTATCCACACTACCCGTGTCACTCGCGTGAGTCAGGAGGTGAGGCTGAGGAGCCTGACACCGAGGGAGGCCCAGAAGGAAAAAACAAGAAACCGGGCCTTCTCGGCGGTGGCTCCTCGCCTCTGGAACAACCTACCTCCGGAGATTCACGTGGCCCCCTCACTGGGTATCTTTAAAAATAAACTAAAAACATGGATGTTTCGACAGGCCTTCCCTCAAGTTAATCCGTGATGTTTTCTTTTCCTCTCTTCTCTTATTATCTGCCTTCCATCTTGTTGAATTTGTTTATTATGTAATGATTCTTTTGTATTTATCTGATTTTTTATGTTGTAAGCCACCTAGAGTGGTCGTAACTGACCAGATAGGTGGGATATAAAATAAATAAATAAATAAATAAATAAATAAACAAACAAACAAACAAACAAACAAACAAACTAGGGAAACATCACAGGGGACTTAGAATATAGTTTCATCACAGTCATAGTAAACTATATTCTAGGCAGCTCATGACTCTTTATCTGTACCACTCCATCTCTTCCTGCTCTGATAAGAAAAGAGAGTACTGAGAAGCACTCCTGCAACGTGACTTCAAGCATGTATAGTTATGATGAATATACAGTGTAATTATGTCTAACACAATGAGCTTGCATGAAGGGCCTTTGTTTGCCTTCTCCATCATCAGAGTAGAATAAACAGTTCCATTGAAGAAAAGAAATGCAAAACCAGCTGCTTTTCCTAGCCTTCTGTTGTTCTCTTTTGGCACAGACCTGAGAGGCAAATTTATCCCAGGGGTGATTCCACTGGAGTCAGAATCGACATTGCAAAAGGAATGAATTGAAGGATGGATATTTGTATGTGGACGTTTGCTTCTAGGTCTTCCTCTAACTTCTGGTATTCATGTCTTCACAGAGAGCTTGGGAGAAAAGATGCTCAGCTGCCCAAAAGGTAAGATTTAATAACAATTGCAAAATCATGCCAGATGCTTATTTATTTATCAGTTTAAAAGACATGCCCTTGTTTGACTAATAAGATGTTTCAGCTAGACATGTGCTTCGTTTACAATTGTTTCCAAGTCTGGATATGTACTAATCTATTAAAAAAGACAAAATAAACATGTCATTAGATATTGTTCTTTCAACATGGGGAAACTGCAGTATAATACCTAGTAAAGAGGAAAACACCATGTAACAACTTTATCATTACCACTTGCAGTAAACACATGGAATTTAATTTTTTTGGGGGGGGGAACCCCACTGCTGTAGAGCACAAATTAAGCTGCAATCTTATACAATAAAGATGTTCCTGGCAGTAAGTCCACTGAAATAACAGAACTTACTTCTCAGTTGACATGTATTGGACTGGATTGTCAATGTGCAATTTAATATTTACATTCACAGAATGAATACTCCATGTAGCTGTTGTCAAATCCATAATAAAATGTCCGTCTTGACCAGATTGCTTGTCCATCTCTTATATTTCCAATGAAATTTGATTTAATGGAAAAATGCAAGGGTCTTACATTCATCTTTCAATTCCTTTTTTCAGCTATGGTGCCCTGCATTCCATTTCCATGTAACACGGGGTTGAAATCTCCTGCTCCAATTAACAAACAAACAAACAAACAAAAAACCCACACCGGCTATTTGGAGTTTACGTCCTTTCTCTTCTTTGTTTCTACACAAAGCAGCTGGCAAGAGTGTTGGCCTCCAGAGAGGAGGATCTTGACAGGACGGACTAATCAATATTCAGCAGCGCAGGTTGCTCATTATGCAGCCATTGATTATCTCTGGAAGTTGCCCACTGTGCATGCCTCATTCTTCACTCTTGCCTCCACAGCCACACGCATAACTGTGCATGTACGCAGACAAACATACCGCCCACAAGGCCACCCTTTTGTGCCCAGCAGGGGGGGAAAAAGAAAAGCCTTCACCAAAGCTCCCTTCATAACCTCTTCCCACTGAGGTCAGGGAATAGTGTGCATTCCAATGGAAATAGGAGGGGTGTGGGAAACCCCCGTCCTTAATCCCTGACACCCTTCATCCTACAAGGCTAAAGACATAAACAGGGAAAAGTGGAGCCCATCTAATTCTACCAGGCAAGATGCAACTCTGCTCTATATCATGAAAAGTGAAAAGATACTGGAGTGAGAGATAACTTCTCTGTTGCTGCCTCCAGCTATTTGGAAGGCTAATGAGCTTGGGCCAAAGCAGTTTGTTTTTAGCCTGCTCTGTGTAGTTAGCACAGCAAGCAGCACCAAGCACCAGCTACCTTAATGTGTGGATTTAGACCCTGGCAATTGGAATGGTTAGCAGAGCACACTTCTACCCCTGGGAAGAAATCATGTCTTAACTCCTCGTTCTAAGAGAATAAGAAAGCTAGTGTTTAGTAGAGAAATGGGAACTTTAATTCCAGCTGCTTAAGATAGCAGCTGGAATTATGCTCCCTGATGCAGAGGGCGCTGGCCACCTCCTCACCTCTTGGGAACAAAGGCACGATATTTCCTCTATCCTCTAGAGATGGGTCAAGAGAAAAATGTTGGCAGCAGGCGGGGCGGGGGGAAGAGAAAGTGACATCAGAAACAGTGAGAATATTAGTCTAGGTCAAAGGAAACATCAGCCTAGGTAAGAGCAGGTGAAGGACAAACCTGAGGAGGTTCTTTTTCTCTTTCGCTACTTTTCAGCATGTAAAGATGTGCATCTTCTTCAATGAAGCTGAGTTTGAAACAGGCATGTAGTACGGTGATCAGAATGGTTGTTGTGGGTTTTTCGGGCTCTTTGGCCGTGTTCTGAAGGTTGTTCTTCCTAACATTTTGCCAGCCTGAAAAACCCACAACAACCATTAGATCCCAGCCGTGAAAGCCTTCGCGAATAGGGTGATCAGAATGCTGGGTGAGGACTCAAGGGATCTGCATTCAAGTCCTCAATCAGCCATGAAACTCACTAGCCAGCCCCACTTTCTCTGTCTGGCCTATTGAGTCAGATGTGTTCTGAGGAGAAAGTGGAGGAGAACCATGCACACACCTTGAATTCACTGAAGAAAAGGCAGAATACAAATGTAGCAAGTAAAGACGCGATAAATAATAATTATAGTTCTTTATTTCAGACATTGCATTGTCCGTCTGAAGAGTTCTCATCTGTGGACTGTTGTATCATAATAATTCTTGGCAGATTTTTTTCTTAAAAAAATTGCAATTTACAAGGGTCACCGGAAATCCTTCTTCTTAATTACCCGAAAAGGGATAATTGCAATTGCCCAGAACGTGACACATTTCGAAGTACTCATTTTTGTTTTGTTTAAGGCATTTCATAAGCCAGGCTCCACATCACAACACTTGTATCTGATGGGGCCAAACCTGTGAATTGCCTAGATTACACTGCTGCTTTCCATGGCAGAACGAGTCCACTCTTTGTATGCCAAGAGATGAAACCAAGGGGGTAATGATATTCTTGTTAAGCCAAGCTCATTCAGTTAAGCCTTCTCTGTGCAATTTCTTAGAAAATGTTTTGCAGCAAAGCAGGCTTTGAAGAAGGACTGATCAACACTTTGTGGCCTGATGCAAAAGCATGGCCTTTATTAAACTTCAGAAGTGAAATGCTTCCACTAAGCTACTTAGAGTGCTCTGCTTATTTAGCTGAGGAGAACAGATTCCTTCATCCATCACATCCTTGTCTTTCAATGTGTTTTTTGTTACAGGATAAAAAAAATTAGAACTGGAAAAAAAACTAATCAAAACAGTGGGGAAAACTACTCTTTTCATAGTGTTTCTGTAACAAATACTGTAGTTACTCCCTCCGTTTTTGCTCTGTGTTGTTTTAATAATTTGTGTTTGTCCACAGTTCCACATGCATATGTTCATTGTTTGGCGGTATATCTCTCTCTAAGAAAGGCCTCAGGTTGCTTTGGAAGTTGTGGATTTTCCTGATTACTCTAGACTCAAAAGGTTTTGTTAGCACTTTTTGGTGCAAGCTGTGCCACTTCTCAAGGGCTTTACCAGGCTATGAGTAGACTCCGTTCATCCAAACAGGGAGGGTAACTCATTTTGTACAGATATTTATTTAATGGCTTTCACCTTATTGGGGGGGGGAGTCAGTTTTCATACCTATTTCAGACTATAACATCAATTGTGTCTGTTTACTAACCTGCATTTCAGAAAACTGACATTAGTGATGTTGTTAATGGCGAATAGCAGAAGAGCTCTAGTGAAAATGTGATTAGATTGCCCTCTGGCGGTCCATAAAAGTGTGTCAATCAAACCAAATATTTCTGGGTCAGAGGTGGCTGGTGGCTTTCCAGACATAATAGGAAAAATTCCATGGTCTTGAATGCTCTGCAGATTGCCAAGATCATCAATGTATTCAGTGACAGATCACCCAGTCACATGTCCTCCATAGCAGAGACATGAGAGCAGGAGCTGGTGAAACTTTCCGGGGCTTGGACCTGGCCTTTGGCTTTTCATCTGCTCACCTGCTGAATTTTTTTCCATCCATTGATATTGATCTATTTATGAATATATATAGCTTATGCACATTTTTAATTGGGGGGGGGGAGAGGAATTCCTTCTCTCTTTCTCTGCTCTTTCTATCTACTTCCCTTGGCTTTGCATCACCCTGGTGAATACTTTGCACCAGTAAGCAAGGAAACTAGGAAGCAAGATGAGCACTTCTGCTCCCCTAACAATAATTCTGGGGCCTCTGAATATTCTCCAAGTATTTTCCCCAGGCCATCTAGTCTGATTACAGAGGTAGTTCGGATGGAAGCAAAGCCATGGCAGCCGCAGCGTTTCTGCAGCCCCCATTGGTGTGAGCTATGTCAGAGGGAACAACTGGGACACCAGTCTGCCTGGCTCCCCCCCGCTGCTCCCTCCTAGATGGCTTGCTATGTTACACCACAATGTGCTGCAGGAATGATGGCAACATTTGACAAATTCCTCCCAGTTTATCCAGCAAATGTGTCCAGGGAAAAGCCACTGTGATACCTGGAATAACAGGCTAACACTTTATGACTTGATGAGAGTGAGGAAGTTTTAGAATGTTAGAACAGCAGATATTCTTCCAGGTCTGCTAAGGATAGTGTACTGGTTTTTAGCTTTAATTTCTTTGTGAAACTTCAGTAGGGTCTGGTGTGAACGGACAAGGAGAAGAACCAGGAATGGTGAGATTTGTCACTTTAGAAACTGAGCGCACCCTTCTCTGTCCTGCTATGCCCTTTGTGCCACTTGAGAAATGGAATGATTTCCAGCATCTGTCTTGCTAATGTTTTCCAAAGTGATGACTTTAAAGGGATCCCCTGCTAAGTGTGCTAAGGCAGTACTTGCGCAACAACTGCCTTGAGCCTTCGGATGTCTTTGCAAAGGGCTAAACTAAACAAGAAGCAGGTGGCTTTTGGGGAGCTGATTGCACCCAGTATAAAGCAAGTGTTGTTGGCCTCTCACTCTGGATCAGCAGTACTGAAGACATGGGGTTAACGTATTTAAAAAGAAAAACTTTTTTGCAGTTTTCCTAACCTAAATTGTACTCCGGAGACGCTGTTAGCTCTACCGCACCTTTACTGCTATGTGGTTTATGGCAGCTTTGGGGGAACAGTTAATTTGTCCTTTCAGCAAATAGCTCAGTAAAAATGAAAACAGAGGCATATCCCACATCTGACACCCAGTGTGTGTCCTGCAGCTCAGTGCAAAGAGGTTTGTCCTCTTTCTCTATAGAAATGTCTTCTATGAATTCCATGGCTGGGATGCCAAAGCACCCAGAGGGCTGCATTCATGAAACTCTGCTGTGCAGGCTGTGACCAAATGTGCCTTTGTTAACCACTTTTTATTCCCCTGGGGCCCCATGGCTCTATTTATTTTTTCCTCTAAGAACCAGCATAGGTTTCTGATGGGAATAAAGGATCTCCACTGAAGGATAGGACTGTGGGTGTGTGTAATCGTTTCAACCAATGGTTAAACA